ATAGACACTCCATTCAATAAGGGAGGATATGGGAGGTATTTCTTGTAGCAGTCACTGGTTTTTAGCAATTCCAAAATCCATCTGGGAACACGTCATCAGTTCCTTAATTAGGGCCTGGTCCTGCTTCTTGGGAATGATTCTCTAGCTCTTGGCTTCACCTTTTGGGCTTTTGGGTCCACACTTCGAGTCATTTTCCCTCTTTTATTAGAAATGGCCTGTTTACAGCCTGTTTATCGCCTCTTGGATTGGGGATCCAAAGGTCCGTTTTCATTTTGTACTGTCTTTGTCCCTTCAGTCCCAAGCTACTATACTTTTTAAAACAACGTTGAAGGCTTCTTGTGATTCAAATTATAAAGACCCATTAGACAAAAGCCATACTTGTAAATCTATAAAAATGGGTCTTTCTCTATCTTCAGCTCCCAGTGAGGCTGCAAAGGAACCATGTCTCTAAGGTCTGAAACCATCGAACTCCTAGAAGAAAATATAGGAAGTAAATTTGCAGACATTACCCTCAGTAATATTTTTACTAATGTATCCCCTCGGGCAAGGGAAGTAAAAGAAAAAAATAAACATATGGGATTACACCAAACAAAATTTTTTTCACAGCAAAGGAAACCATCAATAAAAGAAAAAGACATCTTACTGAATGGGAGAAGATATTTGCCAGTGATACATCTGATAAGGGATTAATATCCAAAATTTATTTTAAAAAACTCATTCAACTCAACACCAAAAAAATAAAATACCCAATTAAAAAATGGGCAGAGGACATGAAGAGACATTTCTCTAAAGAGAACACACAGGTGGCCAATAGACATATGAAAAAATGCTCAACCTCACTAATCATTAGAGAAATGCAAATAAAAACCACAATGAGATACCACCTCACTCGGATAAGAATGGCTATCATCAATAAATCAACAAACAACAAGTGCTGGTGAGGATGTGGAGAAAAGGGAACCCTGGTACACTGTTGGTGGGACTGGAGATTGGTGCAGCCACTATGGAAAGCTGTATGAAGGTATCTCAAAAAACTGGAAATGAAACTACCGTATGACCTAGCAATTTCACTCTTAAGTATCTATCCAGAGAAATCCAAAATGCTAATTCGAAAAACTATATGCACCCCTATGTTTGTTGCAGTGCTATTCACAATAGCCAAGATATAAAAACAACCAAAATGTCCATCGGTAGACGACTGGATTAAGAAATTGTGGGGCCGGCCGAGTGGCGCGTTGGTTAAGAACTGGTTTGGGATGCCAGAGGGCCCCGGTTCGGATCCCATATATGAGGGCCAGTGACACTGCCCTCTACATCTAAGATGCTGAACAACAGCTCAACCTGGAGCTGGGCTAACATGGGTCGCCGGCGACGGCGTAGGCTGCAGCCCCTGCTGCAGTGGGTTGCCATGGGCTACCGTGTGTAGCCAGCAGCCAGCGTGAGCGGCCAGCAGCCGCAGTGAGCGGCCGTCCAGAAGCCGGCGACTGATTTGCCTCACCTGGGAAGAGCGCAATGATGGTGCCAGCTTGGGCCAGTGAAGCAACATCCTCCACAACTAGACTGAAGAACAAAAACAACAGCAACTTCTCTGTTCCCCTTCCCCCGATTCCCCAATAAAATCTTTAAAAAAAAAAAAAGAAATTGTGGTACATTTATACAATGGAGTACTACTCGCTCATAAAAAAGAATGAAATCTTACCATTTGCAACAATATGGGTGGACCTAGAGCATATTAGCCTAAGTGAAATAAGTCAGATGGGGAAAGACAAATACAACATGATCTCACTTATATGTGGAATCTAAAGAACAGAATAAATGAGCAATTAAAGATGCTTAGAAGCTCGTTTAAGCATGCCCTTAAATACGTGTGAGGTGTTAACAAAGGATCTCACAGCCCCATCCTTAACTTAGTCTTTGTCCAGAGATCATAGTTTATTGTCCTGGATTTGAAATTTTTGTCTGGAGATATCAGAATGAGAAAATTATCCTTTCTAAGCCATGAAGTCCTGGTTCTTTCTTTTTTTTTTTTTTTAAGCTGAGCCATCCTGCTACCTGTTGGCAGCTGAGCGGCTGCTCAGCTTGGGCCGGGACTCAAACCGCTGTTGCTCAGAGCTCACACTCTTGAGCGAGCTCTTAACCAACTGAGCCACTCGGCCGGCCCTTCCTGGTTCTTTCTATTTCCTCTAAATTCTACTCAAAAAAAAAAAGTTTCTTCTTTAATTCCTGTCTGCTTGTCTTTAGCATAGGCATCTAGAAAAATTCAGTTGGCACTTTCCACATTCAACTTGGAAATGTCCCTAGTCAGATCCAAGAGTTCATTAGACATTCTATCCATTTGTTGCATTATTACAGCCCACAGTTTTGCTAACTGTCCTATGAATACATGACTCAGGTGCTCTTTTCTCCAGCTTCCACGAACAGTTTTCTTGGTGTCCTTCAAATCTTTTCCAAGAGTCTTCCTGAGGCCCTTGCAGCTTTTGCTTTCAAGGCCTTTCTAGCTTCTGCTCATTGTCCAACCCTAAAGCCAGTGTTTTAAGTTTTTGTTACAGCAGCACTCTGCTTCCAGATACCAGTTTGTTCTCGTTACCTGCTGCTGCCTAACAAACCACTCTGAAACCTCTTCCCACAAAGTAGAGAATGTGCCTTGGGATGTGCATTCTATACTCTGTATTTTGATGGAATGCATGGAAAACTTTACCTTCCAGCATACACTTGCCCAAATGATTTTTCTTGTTCTGCCTATTTGTATTCAGAATATAACAGATCCCTTCATCACTCTTTACCCTTGGCTGTTTTGGGCACTACAAGTAGATGTATTTTGGAGGTAAAACAAAAGAAGGAAGGCTGGGAGAAGGGAAGAGGCAGAGAGGCAGGGATAACTTTGGCCATGTCAAAAAGTGATTACCAGGTAGTAAGTTAGTGATCGTCCAGGTGTCTGATTTGTGCACCTCTGATCTCCAAAGCTAGAGACAGGTGGCAGAACAAAGTTAATGTGTACACATAGCTGTGTCCTGGAGGGCTGAATTATTTTGGGTTAAAGAGAGCACTTAGTCTAAATCAATCCAGCTACAAATTCATGATAAAGGGAAGTCCCTTCTACCTATTTTGTTCTATGCTGATTTGAGCTTCCATTCTGACAATTGGTACAAGATTTTTTTTGGCATTTTAATATGAATAAAAGTTAGAGCAAACCCTTGCTCTAACCCTTGCTCAGGGCCTGTGAACCTGCAACTCCCTTAACCTGTCTCAAAATTGTCAGAGGATGAGGACCGGGAAAACATTTGACATGCTCTCCAAAGTCTGTCATCTGGCTTCTATAACTCTTGAGGTCCCCTGAGCTTAATAGCCTTGATTTATGCCCCTTCCAAAGGTAATGTCTTTGAGATGTGTCAATTACTCACTGATAATAACAATAGCCAACATTTGTTGAAAGCTTACTTTATGCCTGGAACTGAGTTAGCTGAGGGAACTGCTATTCATGTTATCACATTTAATCTTTGCAACCACCTTATGGGGTAAATACCAGAATTATTCCATTTTACAGAGGAGGTCAGTTGAGATTTAGCGAGAACAAAGAATTTACCCAAATTCACACAGTAGGTGAGGGCAGATAACTTCTGCCAGAAGTGCCCAACCCTGGTTAAATGGTGACCCATACATTCTATCATGTGTGTATACAGACCTGCTGGGGGGCTTTGGTGATCCAGTTACCATCCAGAAAGTGACAAACAATTGCTTAGAGAAGCAACAGATTGTTAGCAGTTGCAACTTTCATTCAAACTAAGAGATCAGAGGGAAAGATCCTACTGAGATCCCCCAAATCTATTAGTTCATCTCCCTATGACCCTTCATGGAAAACCCTGGAAATGCCTCCAGTGCACATCTCTGAACCAGGTACATAAGACTCAGCCAGTGGCTAAAGAAAGTTATTAGATAATTTGGGAGGTACAAGAAACAAACAGTACTAACACAGGGGAGCAAATGCTGAATGACAGAGGTGTGGTACCCACGATGAGTGCTACAGGGACTCGGGAACCACACCCAGGCTGCAAGCCAGGAGGTGTGCATGAGGAAGGCATCTGATGAACTTGTGCTGCTGGCTGCCAGTGCCAGTGCCCACACTTCCTTGGCAGCTGTACAGCCAGCAGAGAGGTGATGGCTGAGATGTTGGATGAGATGCTTGTGGTAGTATTGCCTGCTTCGTTCCTGATCAGTGTAAGACTTTTTATGCTATAGCTTTTCTTTGTTTGATTCTGGGAATTGGAGGCATCTGAGCTGGCGAGCAGTCTTTCTGCCAGTAGAGTGGGCAAGCAATGGGGACCCTGGAAAGGAGGGTGCTGTAAGAAAAGACCAGCCTGCTGCAGCCAGGTGGGTTGTTCCTTCGCCTTTGGCACACCCAGGGAGGAGCAGAAAGGAACCGACAGGCCGTTGACTTTGTCTATGGGAGAGTCTGAGACCCATCTTGTTATTTTGATTTTGATTTTTACTTGACAACACAAACCTTCGTTGCACTGTGTATTCTGTCAACTTCTGGACACATGAGAGGCAGACAGGTGGGGATCAGGAAAGGTGACTGGAGACTCCAAGCTAGTGTGCTGCCCTTTTGGTTTGGGGCAGAAGAGAAAAAAGGGGTCTGTATGCAAATAGACTTGGCAGATAGTCTTTGAGACATCCAGCTCACACCTGTGTCTAAGCACTTTCTCCCCCTCATCAAATCTATTATTTGACCTTGGAAGGAGAAGTGGGAGCAAACCACGTGTTCTCAGGACCCAGGGGAGCAGGGTGAGAGGTTGGCAGGCGGTGGCTGAAGACATGCCTCGCTAGATAGTGGTAAGGTGGCACGCCGAATTCTCCACCTCCTCCACCGGTTTTGGCCGCCCGGGCGCGGGCGCGGACGCAGGTGTGATTGTGGCCCAGGGGTGTGGGCGCCGGTGATGAAGTAGTTAAGGTGGGGGTCGTCTGGGTGAGTTATCCAATACCAAGGAACAGCAGTTTGCCGGAGTTAACGTGGGCAGCTTCTTTGGGGAGGAAAGGAAGCAAGACAGTCTGCCAAGCTTCAGCTCGCCCCCCGCGTGTGCCTGTGAGTGCGCGCGCGAGGATGAGTGCGCGCGCGCCGAGGCGTTCCTCAGGTTGCGCTGCCTGGAAACCGAGGGAGCTATTGGCGAGGCGACAGAGTGGGGGCGGGGGCTTCCCGGCCCTCGGAGAAGCGGGGCGCTGGCGGCCGAGGCGAGCCCTGAACCCCGGCTCCCGGCACAGACGAAGGCAGAGCGGGGCGGGCGCTGAGGGCGGCCTCCAGGCCCTGGGGGGACCGCCGGGGAGGAGTTGGGGAGGAGGCCGGAGCTGCATGGAGTTTCTAGGGCGCGCAACTCCGGCGGGGCCTCGGCCACTGGGCTCCGGGGTGCAGCGAGGCAGCCGCGCACATGGGCTGAGCCCGCGCACCGGGGCTCTGCACGGCCAGCGGGAGCGAGAGGGGTAGAGGAGTCTGCCGTGCCGGGGTGCGGGGCAAGCGTCCCCAGACGGGAGCCGAGGACAAGGACAGGGAAGCACGCGCCCAGATCGCTCTCCGAGCCGACGAGGGGCTCGCGCCGGCCCGGCGCGCGCTTGGGGAGCGGCCCGGGGCGCCGTGGGAGCCCGCTGCAGCAAGGATGTCGGCGCGGGGACGCGGCTGCCGGCTGGGGGTGTGAGCGTGCGGCCGAGTGCTGCCCGCCGGCGCCCGCATCCGCGTCGCCCCCTCCCTGCGGGCCTCTGAGGGAGCCCCCCGCACCCCACCGAGGAGCCTCGAAACCCAGGTTTGGCGGCTGCGGGCCCGTGCGGCCGGCCCTGGCCCAGCGAGAGGTGAGTGCTGCCGCCCGCTCTCTCCCACCCACAGTCCCTCCCTCGCCTCCCCGCCTCGGTCCTCGCCCCTCTCCGTGGTGCCCAAAGCCCGCGGCTGTTCTGGGCTCCTGTCCCCGGAGTGGGCGGGTGGGCAGCAGACAACGCCTCCCATACCTGTTGGCCTGTGCAGGGGGCACCTCAGCTCGCCCGAGCCACCTTGCTGTCCCGTAGGGTGGCTCCTGGACGCCCTCCCGGGGGCGTGGGGCTGGGGAAGGGTCGCGGGTGTCCCACTCGCTTGTCCCGGAGCTGTGTGAGCTACAGGCTGGGAGCTGGGAGCCAGGGCGGTGGGAAGGGAAGGGAGGGCAGGGGAGCCGCCACCGCAGCCCAGGTGGGAGAGCAGCACGGCTTCCAGGTCTTCGGGAAGCCGAGAGTCATGGCGATCGCGCGAGGCGAGAGGCAGAATTCCCTCGTCTCCAGCCCCCAGCGCGGGCTGCTTGCCCTCCTGGGCGCACGCTCCTCGCAGCCACCCGCCCGGGGTCCAGGGCCCTGCCGAGTGCGGGATAACCGGGGAGGCCTCCAGCAGCCCAGCCTGGAACTTGGCTGTAGCTCAGCTGGCCCCATGGGCCCCAAGTTGCTCCAAGGGTTCGGCGCCTGGGCAGGGGCGGGCTCGAGCTCTCCGGGCAGTTTGGGTGGAAACGCGTGTTCCAGCCTCTCCGGACTGGCGCGACGGGGAGTGAACTTCCTCAGACTTGGCCTGAGGGCGCCTAGGCAGCAGCAGGTAGTTCTGGGGCCGGGCTGGGGGCTAGAGCGAGCGGGGAACGCCTCACACCAACGGGATGGATGGTGGTGCGGAGCCTGCACGGAGGGCTCCGTTTTTGCCTCCTAGGCTCCAGCCACGTGCGCCCTCTGCCCCTACCCGCACGAACATTTCCCACTGCTTCCCCCCCCTTCTTTTGGGGAGGGGTGTGTGAGGAAGGCACCTTCCTTGCCATCGGGTCTCAGGTGAACAGGTGACTGCAGTTCCTTGGGTGCCAGGACTGGAGCACCATCCCCAGGCCCTGAGCTTGTTTTTCACAGAAAAGGAGACTTTCCTGGACTTAGGGAATAGCAGTTCAGTGCTGACCGTGTGCCTGTGGTGGAGCCTGAAGTCTGATTAGTGTTAATAATAACTAATTTTAGAGTGAATAAGAGCAATCAATGAGAAAGGTGAGGTGGCCTCTAGAAGCATGGTTAGATTCCTGCCCTCTATGTCCAGACACACCAGGCATGTGTACAAATGCGAAACTCAACTCTCAGGATTTCCATGTTCTGCTTCTTTAACTGCTGACTTTCAGTCAAAAAGATAAACTCCTTTTCATTTCCGGCATCAGAGCTTTGGAAAGGGTTTTAAAGCCATTTGGTGTGAAATTGTCTTGAGGTTAGAGCAGGACGGTTTTTCTTTTTTTTTTTTTTAAATCAAAGCCGAACACGAGCTCTCCTCTTTGGCATGTTGGTGGTTTTTATTTCATCTTTGTGGGATGGAAGGAAATGTTGGGACAAGAAGAAGAAAGTGTTTGAGGAGTCCCAATTTTATTTGCTCGTTGTCTAGCTGAGGCTTTGATTGAAGCCTAGATGGTAACTGAGACCTCCCCTGTGCTTACAGCTCTGTTGTGACACCCAGTTTAGAATTCATTCCTGGGTACCAGGAGCTGCAAACCTTTGCCAGACTCTTAGGCAGTTGGTGGTGGCCCTATGAATGCCCCATGGATGCCCCTGGGCTGCCTTCCCCTGTGACCTGCCCTGCTGGAAGCCTGGCAGTGTGGCCCTCCTTTCTGAGTTCCCTGCAGACATGTGGGTTTTCGTGGCACTAGCTGCCTGAGAACGGCTATGTTTACTGAGAACCTGGTCCGCCACACTGAAGTTGGTTACTGGATGTATCCAAGTGGAGTAATGAAAACAAAACTCTCTGGAAATCCAATCCCTAGGATATTTTATTGGAGGAGCGCTAAATCCTCTTAGAATTGTTCACCAAGATCACCTTTGTCTGAACTCTGAACATAACCACTGCCAGTAAGTAACCAGGCCTTCAGCAAGGGTGCTTTTTAGAAAGAACATAATTTAATTCAGCTGGTTCTGTGGAGAAACTGATGGGCAAAACTTGATGAAGACACACCATTCCCCTTTCCTCTCTAAGAGGTGGTGGGGTTTGGGGTGGAATGAGGGTGTATGTGACAGCTGCTTGAGTGAGTTTCCCATTTATCTCCACTGTGGGGGGCCTCTGGTCAGTGCTTAATATTGGGCAGGGTTGGGCTGCCATCCAGACATTTCTTTTCCATAGTGAGTGGACAGTGTGCTCTTGGGTCACCACCAGCCAGGAAAAGAGGTGTCTGTGCGCAGCTTCGCTTTCTCAGCCTGCAGTCCAGGCTTTGCCTGCTACCCCAGTACCGGCAGCCTATACTTGGGTGCTCCTTGGGTGGCAGAAGGGGCGCTAATTCTTACATTGAGACGAATTATGGGGGCTCAGATAGAACTTCGGACATTTAAGGTCTTTGAAGGCCTTCTTAATTCATATTTCTGAGCCCCTACTTGGCGCGAGACACTTTTACACATTTGAGCTCACATAATCCTCATTTTTCATATTTGAAAACTGATGCCAATGGAGAGTAAATAACTTTCTTGGGCTGCTTAGCTTGTGGGTAAGAGGCAGAATTATGGTTTGATTCTAAGAGGCTAGGCTTTCTGATTCTAAGTCCAGGGCTCTTTCCACACTGTTGCTTAGGATCTGAAGAGTATTTTAGTAACCTTTGACCTTCGGTGCCTCTTTTAGAGTCAGACCCATAGTGGGTGCCCTGTCTGTGTTTGCTGAGCGAATCTAGGTCAGCATCTCATTCCGCATTCCTGATGAGGAACCTCTGGCAAAGGAGGAGCTGGGCTTTGTGCAGGGGGTCAGGGGAGGAGGCCCTTCCCCTCCCCCCCCACCACACAAAGGTACTTACATTCCAGCCATGTGAGGTTCCGCCCAGATTGGTTTGATTCTAGGCTGCAGCTTCTTTGTTTGCATGCTCCCTATCTATGCCCACATTAGTATGGGGTGGGTGGCATCTTTGCCTTTCATTTGAGGCATAAACTAATGTAGTCAGGGTATCTGAAATGTCTTTTCATAATGGGGAACCATTCAGGAGCGCAGTGAGCAGTGGCCTCTGATGCTTGTTAAAACCGTGTGTGTCCTGGCTCTCAAGCAATGAAACCACACTTCAGGATGGGCAAAGCCTAGGCTGATCTGTTGGCCGCTCAGTTTGAGGGTAATTCTGAGTGTGGTTAGAAAGGAGAAAAATGAAAATACAATTAGGGTTTTTAAAGTAAATTATGTTTTTAATTATTTAAACAGAATCATCTAACAAATGGTTAGTTAATACATCACCTAACAAAAATTTATTCAATGCATATTATGTGATATGGATATTGAGATGCATATGACACAGCGCCTGTCATAAAAAAATTCACAGATGAGTGGGGAAGGCAGACAATGTGTTAGGGGTACACATTTTGTGAGCAGAGACAGCACGCAACTAGCCTAGGATGCAAGTGATATCTGAGCTGAGCTTAAAGGGTGATTGTGACGTGATCACCCTTAAATGGGTATTCCAGTGCAGGGGAAATAGGGTGGGCACCGGGTGAGAGGCAAGAAAAATATAGAAAATATGAGGAAGCAGTTGGTAGTTTGGAGTTCTGGAGCTTAAAGGTTGAGACAGGGAGTACCAAGAGAAGAGGCTGGAATGATAGATGGGGGCCTTTGACTAGGACCAGGGACTCAGCATTTCACTGTTAGGGAGCAGGCAGCATGGTCCAATTAAATTTTTAGGTAAGGCCAGTTGGGGACCTTGTGCAGAATGGATTTGGCAGTGAGAAGACCAAAGGCGTGGATACCAGTGAGGTGGCTGGTGCTGAGGTCATGGTGGGATATGGAGCAGAAGAGATGTACTGGGCAAACATTTAGAATTGTGAGTTAGGGTTCCTGGGTTGCAAGCAACAGAAACCAGCTATGGCTAACAACTAAAGCAAAGAGAATGTATTACCAGTACTGATGGGAACTTGGAGGACTGAGGGCATGACTGAAGAGCCAGGCTTGGAGCAGACAGGAATCAAGCATTGAGGGGATCTTGGTGGTGGGAATTGCCTACGGTTTCTCTCAGGTGATACTATGGAAGCAAACAATCTCCAACCTTTTCCTCCATTAACAACACCATCATCATCATCAGTGTCATTGTCATCATCATAGTATTATTCTGCTACATTTAAAATGCTCGAAGAACATGTCTGCTTCATATAGCTTTGGGTCTTTATATCAAGGAGCAGCTTTCTGAAAGGTCATTGGAATAAGAAGGCCCAGCTTTCTGAAAGGAAACTGGAATGATATTGCTGAAAGATGGTGACTTAGATTTGGACATGTTCTCCATAGGAGAGACAGTTGGCGAGACTTACTGATTAATTGATGTAGACGTAGGAGAAAGGGAAGGGGATAGTGTGACCACTAGGTTTCTAATTTAGGTAATGGGGTGGATAAACAAAATGAAAGGGTGGCCAAGACTAAATAACTCCTTTTTTTCCCACTGGCAGGGCTGTGGGCAGCTCTCTGACCAGGCTGCTTGAGAAGGTGATGACTTATTTTAGTCTCTTTAAGGGGCTATGCTGCTGTCAGTAAGGCCTGTTAAAGTAATTACTTTATCTCATGTCCCACAAACCTGGATACTTTGAAAACATGTTCATTCATTGAACCAATATTTATAATGCATCTCTGGCTTAGGTACTGGGGAAAATGGTAAATTAGACAGATAGAGGTAGTATGCTCAGATTCTAGTGTCATAAGACAATAAAAAAATAAAAATAGAAAATAAAATTAGATGATGTAATAGAGACAGATGCAGTGTCTCCTTCAGATTGGGTGGTCAAGAAAGTTCTCTCTGAGGAGCCTATTGAAGCTGGGTAAGTTGGGAGGAAGATATGGAGAACTTCCAGGCAGTGGGAGCATCCAGTGCAAAGGT